ATTGTGGAGAAAAACGGACTGCACATTAAGCAAGCAATTTTGACTGCAGATATGATATTCAGATGAATCGACACTATGGAGGTGACAAATTCTTTCAATTAAAACGTTCTTTTTGTGCAATATTTTCTTTGAAGTAAATAAACAATGCAATGTACGTAAAAAGTTTTAACATCTTTTACATATAAAATACAATGGTACATAAAAGTTGTTTTTTTTTTTTAAAATATAATTCAAAATTGACGGCAATAATGACGTCATAGTGCTCAAAGCGGTTAAATGCAATAAAATACATTCCATCTTCAGAGGGTTATTGCAACTAAACTATAAAAGATAGATAAGAATTGTTAATATATTTATAAAGTGTACATTCTCAACTCATTTCTTTATGATTATTTTTAATTTTCAAAGAAGGGCCGAATTGCACTACTAATGTACCTGGCTCTTTGATGCGTCCCAGAAAAATTATGTTGAGTCCAAACTAAATTATTGCAGTATCCTTCCATCCAAACATCAATAAAAATCTTTATCATTATTAGTTTGTTTACGTAGTATTAACATATTCAAGTATATAAACTGGTAATGCATTCAAGCCATATTCTAAAATACACGCGTAATCAATTAACATAAAAATAACTTGGTGTTTATAAAGCTAAAATTAACTGTTGCATAATCAACTAGTACCCAAAAGTTGACTGTATACAATCACAGGTGTCATGTGCGATGAGGCGTAACTAATCCTGTCGGTCGTCTGCACTGGGTGAAATTCACGAGATAATCAAGCCGCATTGTGTATACAAGCAGTAATTATGGTTTCTACGTGTAGATAACACTCACAATTCAAAAGTGTTTTTTTTTTTTAAAAAAGCTGCAGTGTGTTTACAGCTGTCGGAGTTTGGCATGCGACACTATTATGACTATGGACTAATAAACATGAAATATCTTATGATCAATCCCTGTTTTAAAAAAAAAAAGAGAAATAAGTATAAGAAAAGTTGTTTCTTGGATAAACTTTATGATAGTTACAGGAAGATTTCGATTAAATATTTCTTTGACAAGTTCTAACATCTAAATTCCCCGTTTTCGAAATCACCCGAATTTTCTCGCTAACGAGGACGCATCCGATCATGAGTCTGCGGACGCATCGTTTTTAAGAACCTTGCGTCCCAAGTAATTTTGCTGCGTCTAGGACGCAGATTCTTGCGTTAATGAGAACCCTGCAGATTTTTGAACTTCTGGACCATTTGGTCAAGAGTTCTGGTCCTAGCCAGGGCTCTATTAATTTGTATTCTACTGAGAGGAGTTATTCCCCTTTGCTGTTTACTTCTGATAATTAATCACTGTAAATAATGTACTTGAAAGGTTAATAGAATAAGGCAATTATGCAAGAATTTTTATTGTATAATACAAAAAGTATTTTCGTAGTTTTAATGATCAGGTATACTTGTAAGTAATAGATAAATAAAAATGAGACAAAAATAACTTGTCTTATTAAATGTTCATCAAAGACCAAGAGAGGCCTATGTAAGAGATTTCAGCAAGGAATTAAAATAGTATAGAAGCACTGGTAGTTTGCTCAGTATACTGTATGGTGATAGTGATAAATGGGGAACAGACTAGAACCTAATTTATGAACTGTTAATGAATACTGGACTAATTATTTTGTTGATCCTGATCACCCTATTTTTCTTGCTTTTGGGCAACAAAGCTTCACCTTTCAGTTCATTTTATACTCTATGGATCCTCTAAATTGTTGTATTATACTTAGGTGACCGTTAAGGCCCTTGGGCCTCTTGTTTAAAAAAAATAGCTTGTCCCCATAGACTTAAATTCAATCTTTGTTAATTAATTACTGCTTAGTTAATTATAATTTTGAAACTTTCTCTTGGTAAATCCTTTTCTACTGTAAACTGCTTTAAATTAATATCAGTGTATTATGTACGTGAGGGACATTTAAGGATAGAGAATTTGGTCCTATTAGGTTTGGAAAACCTTAAGGGTTAGAGCAAAATAAAAGTATATGAAAGTTATAAACACTAGTGGCAAGTATCCTAAGGAATTGATCTTAATTTCTGGGTGTAGTAAATCTGAAGAAGATTGAGACACCCAGTTCTTATCTACAATGGGAACCTAGGGGAGAAACATGGTGCAAGTAGTACCTTACCCAGTCCCCGTTTCTAGATAAGAAAAAATTTATTATAAGCACTACGTGCTATACCCTCAGACAGAGGTGTCTTAATAATCACTTCGATCATTAACTCAGAGTTAAAGGAAAGGGGGAGTACAACACAAGGTCAAAGTTTTGCATAAGAATATATAGGAATCTTCTGCTCAAGAACAACAAAGCCATGATTAGTTGTAGCGTAAATTAAAGTTTGCCCCCACCACCCTTTTCAATACTGAACTGATTTCTACTTCTTCCTAGCCAATGTGCTTAGGTGAGCCATGTGGCCCGTGGGCCTCTTGTTAGCTCACCTGAGCCTAAGGCTCAAGTGAGCTTTTCTGATTACATTTTGTCTGGCGTCCATCTGTCTAGCTGTCCATCTGTTTGTACACGTTTCACATTTTCAACTTCTTCTCAAGAACAACTAGGCCAATTTCAACCAAACTTGCCATAAAATATTGAGTAAAGGGGATTCAAGTTTGTTTAAATGAGAGGCCATGCATTCTTCCAAGGGAAAATAATTTCCAATTAGTGACCACAATGTACAGTCACATTTTTACATAGGAATACATAAGAATAATCATAATTTTGGGTGTATTTATTTTTTTTTTAAGACATGTTAAAAACATTTAAGAAATCTTAAGATAATATTAACTAGTGCTAATTGTAATTGGCACCGTTACAGATGTTCCCCAAACACTTCTTTTCATTTAAAGTGTAAGCCAGTCGAATTGAAGCACATGTGCATGAGCGTGTTTTCACGATATCTCATACATATCATAATGTAGAACCTCCTTATGTATGACAATGTTTTAAATATCAAAGTATTTTTCAAAAGATAGGAAGGTTATTGAGATTTCTTATGTCAGCAAATCAGAGGAAGGTTAAAGCTGATTCAATTGTATCAGTCATTTCACTCCTCGCACAAGCACGCACATGGATGCAAATGCACGCAAAACCACCTTTGTTGCGCACATCTACATTTTTTCAAAAACTTGGCCATAACTTTTTCACAGTTAGCACTAGGCCTTTCAAATTTCAAAGGTGTATTCCTCATGACAAGACCTTCCTTTGGATATGAAGAACTTTGACCTTTTGACCATGACCATGGAGTTTGACCTACTTCTGAAAAACTTTAACCTTTCCCATAAGAACAGCTGGTGCTATGACTTTTATATTTTGCATAAGTATTTCTTATAACAAAGAATTTCCCAGCATACCATTAATTTTGACCCTTTGACTTGACCTTGGAGTTTAACCTACTTTTAGAAAACATTAACCTTTACCATAACTTTTGAATGGTTGGTGCTTGTGCTTTCATTTTTATCAGGTATATCCATTGACACAAGTCCTTTCTTTTTGGTAACAACATTTTTGATCTCTTGACCTTGGAATTTGACTTGTATTTGAGAAAGTTTAACCTTTGCTGTAAGCTGCTTTACTGGGGCATCAGTGTTTCATAAACACATCTTGTTAGCTCACCTTAGCTGAAAGCTCAAGTGAGCTTTTCTGATCACTTGTTGTCCATCCGTCTGTCCGTCCATCCATCTGTAAACTTTTCACATTTTCAACTTCTTCCCGAGAACCACTGCGCCAATTTTAACCAAGTTGGTACAGGGCATCCTTGGTGAAGGGAGTTTAAATATTAAAATGAGGGACCAACCCCCCTTCCAAGAGGAGATAATCAAGAAAAGACAAATATAGGGTGGGGTCATTAAAAAATCTTCTTCTCAAGAACCAATGGACCAGAAAAGCTGAAACTTATCAGGAAGCATCCTTGGGTAGTGTAGATTGTAAATTGTTCAAATCATGGCCCCCGGTGGTAGGATGGGGCAACAATAGGGAATCAAAGTTTTACATTGAAATATATAGGCAAAATTTTTAAATATCTTCTTCTCAAGAACCACTGAGCCAGAAAAGCTGAAACTTATGTGGAAGCATCCTGAGGTAGTGTAGATTCTAAATTGTTGAAATCATAGCCTTCAGGGGTGGGGACACAATAAGTATTTCAAGGGGGGGGGGTCTGGTGAAGAACAACAGGGCCAAAGTAATTCAGGTTAGCATTGTGGCCCATGGGCCTCTTGTTTTTTTTAAAAAATCTTCTTCTCATTACAAGAACAACAAAGCCATTATTTGTCATATTAAATATAGAAGCATCCTCAGGTACATATGTTATGTAGATTCAAATTTGTTCAAATCAAGCCTTCCTCCCTCTCCCAGGGTTGTTAATTTTGGACCACTCATACATTTAAACTTTTTTTAATATCTGCTTTTTTCCTGGCCACTGTCCTCAGGTGATTCATAAGGCCCATGGGCCATGAGATTTGTTTACCATTTAGGTTAATGTTTAATTTAAAATGCATTTTATTTAATTAAGCCATTCCAAGTTTTTTCTCTGTTTAGCGTCCTACCATCTTTCAAAAACCTACCTACCTCTTCGCAAAAAACACACAAACCAAAAAATAAAACAAAGACTTCATAGTTGTAAAAATTATGCCATTTGAAAAATCTATTTTCCTCGTTGAAAGATCTATTCTTCAGCAAAACTGAGGTATTAAATGCTTAAAATATTTCTTATATGACATATTGTAGACAAATTTTTATAGAAATTGACAGAATTTAAAGATTTTGACCAGAATAATCGATTTTAGGACTCCTGATTCTGTTTGTTTTTTCTGATATGGGGTGTCAAAAACCAAGGTGCACGCGGACGCTAAACATAGAAAAAACTTGGAATGGCCTTATATAGTACATGGAAATAATTTTGTAAGTAATAGACAATTTCATCCCACAGTTCCATAGGTTTTACTCGTTGATTTTACTTTTAATTGTTTTTCAGGACTATGTGTGATACTCAGTCAATCATCTATCCTGGATATCAAAGAATGTGGCATGTTTGCAAGTGGGTGCCCGGATAAGAATTATATACCTACAATGATGTATCAATGTTAGTATTCTTAGAAAGTTGTGAAACTTTCCTATCCAATCATGGTTTTATTATTTGTTTGAAAATTAAGATAATATTTAATTTGTCAATGTAAGTGCTTATACTTTTCTGTCTAATATGCAGTTTACTTTCTCCTAAACAAAACTGACTAAATTAACAGTTTCCATTGCATGAAGGGCATCTGAAAAGTTCTGAGAATGGTTTGATAAAATATTTACCATTAAACAGAAGTTAATGAGTTTGATATATCTGAATTGAAAAGAGCAGGAAAATATGTGTATATAATTGCGACACATCGTGGCAAGCCATGGGTTTTGTGTCCATTCTATTTCCACAAACCTGTGGCTGTCTCCTATAAAATTTCTCTCGTTCTCATGAATATTAATAACATACATTCAACCAATGGAATAACATCTGACGCTTCAAGTCAGAACCAATGACAATGATCAGTCTATCTTGTATTTGGATGTAACCATAACCATGAGCTGTACATCAACTTCGGTTCGAATTTCCTTTCTTAACGAGTAACGTATTCAGCGTTCTCACACAACGTCTACATTTGAAACCCTGTATTTTAATGTAAAACCTTGTAAGTATTTTAGAATATACGTTATTCACCTCTGTTCTTCAGGATCTATCATATTTTTTTTCAATAAATCTGCCACACATAGCAAACATGATTTCATTATGGGCGCCGCCATTTAAGCGTACCAAAAATTGCTACAGAGTGATTTCATTGGTCAAGGTAAATCTGGCATCACTTAATAAATATTCAATGATTCAGTCACAAGAATGAGAGAATTTGGTAGGAGTCAGCCACGGGTTTGTGGAAATAGAATGGACACAAAACCTGTGGCTTGCGACGATGATTGCGACATCACTTTGTATTTTTAATGATGTAAATAATATATCCCAAAATAATGTCAGAATTCCGTTGTTTAGTAAACTGGAAAGTTACAATTTTTTGTCCGAATCAGAACATCGGTATAGTCATATTAAGGGCTTCTTTGAGAAGATTTTTTAAAGAAAATATGCATAGAGCTACAGTAAGACTATAAGAGTGGTACATTAAATCAGCAATTCAGTATTTCATTTTATGATTGGTAAATAAGCTCATTTTATGACCGATTACAACAGATCATAGACATTCATTAAATTTTTTATACGCCTGTCTTTAGACGGGACGTATTATGTTATGGCGTTCATGTCCGTCCATCCGTCTGTCCATCTGTTAGCTTTTTCGTCTCGATCCGGCTCATAACTTTAATACTATTAGGCCTAGGATTATCAAACTTTGTCAGCTGATACTTCTTGGGTAGAAGGTGTGTCGCACATTTAAAGTAGGTCGCTCTGACCTTTAATCAAGATGCTATGGCCAAATATGGAAAAATCCTGCCTGGCTCATAGCTAGAAAACTATTGGACTTAGAATCATCAAACTTGGCCAATTTATGAATCTTAGGTAGAAGGTGTGTCGCGACCTATTTCAAGGTCACTGTGACCTTTAATTTAAGTGAAATTAACAAAAAACTGTCTTTTTTACTATTAGATTAAACAATCCCAAAAAATGCAAGAGTGTTGCAGTATCCTTATTAAATAAATGTTAAATCAAGAAAATACTTATTTTTTCATTATATACTTTACAGCAATCTATAACAAATGTAATGTTACAAGAGAAATTCTACCTCTCCCATGGGTGTAATTATCAAGCACTGGTCAAGGAGAACTTGATAACAGAAAATTGCATGTCAAATTAGAGAGAAATTAATGAGTTTAGTGTGAGGAGCTAACTGGTAGAGCATCTCTGATCAAGCAGGTGTTATCTATATCTCTTGGGAACTGGGCAAAAAGAATCAGCCGTGTTGGATTAAATAGTTGGCTAGTCTAACTTTTAAAATGAATTTGGTGAAAAGTAATTAAAACTTATTTGATATTGTATGATAAATTAATTTGATATTGTATGATAAACTAATTTGATATTGTATAATATAATTAAAACTAATTATACTCGAGAGGGGGGTGATATTGGAATCAGCATGCCCATTGTTCATATGAATTGCAGCTTAAAACCAGTCTGACATTAAATCTAAAAAAAATCAAGTATTCAAAATGTTTTAATTATGGTAGATAGTCCCAACAAATCTAAGAGTAATGCAGGAACCTTATTAAAAATGTTGCATCAAGATTATACACAAGTTTTTTGTTTCTTTTTATAAATCTTTGTAACAAATTTAAAAAAAAAAATCTTTGTTTTCAAATTTAATTTCAGAATGACATAAATATGCATTTTTATTGCACTACAAAGCAGATAGTATTTATAGATCCATTCATCTCTTGGGAGTAATGAGTGGGACATGCATCCAGTTAAAGATTAATTAATGAGTTCAGTGTAGGGAGGCTAGCTGTCTCAATCATTTCTGTTAGAGGATCTCTGATCAAGTCAGGGGCATGATGGAATCAAGTTATTTTTTAAAATAACTTTTTTAGGTTACTTCACTTATCTATTACTAAACAAAGAAATAACTCATTTGAGTTAATTCTTAAAACATAGAATGCCTATCAATTTTGCCAAAAAACATCAATATTTTGAGTTTGTTGCTGATTTAAGATGATGTAAGGCTGAGAAAGTTGTAAATATATGTACTTCTTTTAACAGACTCAACAGACTTCATATCTCCTGAGCAGATAGGATGATATTTATCAAAACATCATGATATTTTTCAGGGAAAAATAATTCCATTTCATGAACATTTCAGAGGTCAATTACACAAATTCCGCCAATTTTGCCAACAGTGAGACTAATTTTCCTGAAATTCTTGAATATTACTGTACAATCTCTACAGTACCGACCAGACACAACCTAACAGAAAGGGAACCCAGAGCGGACCCCAGGTTCGCTCTCTGGGTTCGCTTCGGGTTCGACCAGTCAACATGCCAGTTTGTAATCTAAACATTGTACAAGCAAAGCGTGTGAATGTACAGTGTAAAAATATTATTAATATGATTTTTAAACATGATTTTACAATTATGTATTTTAATTCTCCGGACAACATGCAATATTTACACATCTATTTTCATAATTTTTTATTTTTAAAAATCTATTAATACATTATATATTTTTATTATCCAGGTAGCATGTTACATGTATAGTTGCATATTTATTTTCTTTATTTTTAAAATCCATTAATATATAAATATACATTGCGTAAATTTATCAGATAATAAGTACTTTAATTCATAATAGAAAAAAAGAAGATAATAATGGTTATAACAATTGTTACTAAAAAAAAAAAGAATAAAAAAAAAACTGGTCTTCGATAAATTATAGAATTTTATTATCTCAAGATACAGTATAAAAACATGTACGTGCTATAATTTTATTATTTTTTATCTATTTCAATTTACATGCACGTTTTAATTTATCCAGATCAACATCGAAATTATCGATCTTAATAATTGTTCATGAAAAAAATTAAGTGTACATTGTACAGTATAAATTTGCATTATGTCAAAAAAAAAATCTCATTTTTTTTAACTACTGTGATGTTTTTTTTTAAATTAATCTTTTACCAAAATATAAGGAAAGATTATTTTGTCAATTCTAATTATCCTACATGTATACCTTACATAGTATTTTTTTGAATTTTTGTAACTACTTGCAAGTCAGTCAAAAAAAAAAAAAAAAACAAAAAAACAAAATGCAAAAATGATTATCACTTTCCTTCGCGTCGATATATATAATTATACAGGTTTACATGTTCACGAACCTCTTACATGTACTACATGTAATTTTCGAAATACTTTATATGGATAAAAAAAAAAAAAACTAGTCGATACGTTTTGTATTTGTGCATGAAAAGTACACATAATTCCAACGTTAGTAAATTGAACTTGCAAAGATACCTTAATATGAAAACGTACATATATTTTTTTCATTACATAGGTACCTGTATTTGAACTTTGTAATTGTCATAATTATTCAATTTTAACACTTAAATAATTATAGTTTCAAAGTGAAGCCAAGGTCATCACGTGTCGGTAATCAACCACCTGTTTCGAAGATATTGCGGGTGCTAAGAGCAATTGCGGTGGTTTTTTTTAAATTGACACTTGCTAGCTGGATGTATACTGTCTACATGGTCACGGTATACCTGAGTATATACTCCCCCTACAGTCGATGCCCCTCAAGTTACATGTACCTCGTCTGGGCACGTTATCAATGAGAAATTCAATTATTATTATTCTTTTTTCTTTTTTTTTGATTTTTGAATTTGGAAACGTCATAGTTCTTTGGTACGTTGCAAGAAGAGTACATGTTCATGTAATTTGCTGCCAACTGAATGCTGAAAATCAGTAAAATAGCTTTACGAGATCTAGAGATAGAGAGAGAACACTGTATATTATTTGAAATTAAAATCGCTACAACCGGCCCATAGAAAACAATTCGAGTACGGAGAGGGGTGGGGGACTCATCGAAATAAAACAAAAGAAAAAAAAACAAACAAACAAACATCGGGCGTTATTATCTTAATTTCATCTGCTTAATCATCCGAGTTTACAGTTATTGAATTCTTGTTTTGTTTGTTTTCTTTCTTGTTTTTATTTATTTTTAAACATTTAGAATTTTGTTTGTTAACGTGCCGCTCCAGTATATACATGTATGTAGTGGACCGGGGGGGGGGGGGGGGGGGGCATGAACCAGTAAGGAACACAAACTATTCAAATGATCATTGACATGTATTTGAAAACAACTTAAAAAAAATAATATATTCTTTTCAATGGGCCAGTTATTAGTTTTTGTTTTGTTTGTTTTGATTGTTGTTTTTTTTTTTTTATGTCTTCCGTTAAACTCGCCTTATAAAACAATGATTTATAGCATGGAAGTAAATTTTAAATGATCTGTAAAACGAAACTCAAGTTACACTATATGAGAATTTTTAGTGATTATCACGACCTACATATACATGTCATGGACGACAACCTAGCTTAAATATAAACTGCTAAATATGAAAACTTAGCATTTTACGTGTACAGTATGTCTCAGCTATTTCATAGATAAGATCATAATTCAGTTGTTTGTCTTTCAAACATTTGAATTACGATTTAGCAAATGCAATTACAATTGGAAGTTCCAACTTATTTTAAAACGCATGAATAATGTAAACAAAAGAATTTGAAAGCTTTTTTTTAATTAAGATACTCTTATCAATTTCACTCCATCCGATACATCGAAAATAAATTTAACACCTTTTCTTCTTTTTCTTTCGAGATATACTTAGCTTGTAAGTTAATAAAAATAGAAGTGATAATTCTACGTCGAATGTACGGTGAAATTCTTTAAAATTTATCAACGTTCTCCATATTGTCACTTACATGCACATGTTTCGATCGCTATAAAAACAGTAATGATCGATTTCACTACTGTATTTGGAATATACAAGGGGCGGGGCTTACTGGCGGCAAGATTAAAGCGGGGTCCGCTTCACGCATGGGTGCGTAAAGCGAGCCCGGAAAGCGAACGCCGGGTTCGCTCTAGCGGACCCAGAGCTGACCCCGAGCGAACGCAGAACGAACCCGAAGCGCACCCAGAGCGGTCCCAAATTTTCTGAAAGCGGACCCCGAGCGAACCCAGGAAACGAACCCGGGGTGCGCTTTGGGTTTGCTCTGGTGTTAGGTTGTGTCCGGTCGGTACTGTATGTCTTACAATTTTTGTGCAAAGCTGTAGATTTTTGTGCAAGAGTTCTAAAGTGAGGTTGGTTAAGGTTGAAATAACTGAAATAAGTGATGATTTGTTGAATTTCAACTTGTTAAATCTTAAAGATAGATTACTTTTACTGTCATGAACCTTTTCCATCTACTTAATAACCCAAGTACAGAATGAATAAAGCTTTTCAGATGCCAGTAGGTTTAAAATAATGAATAATAAAGTGTCAATAACTGGAATAAGTCACTGAAGAAAAGCATAATCAGGGAAAGATAACCCAAAATAATGACATTTAATAACTTAAATTATTTTAAGAATAACTTGTTTCCATGATGCCCTTGACTGATCAAGCAGCTCTTATCTGTATCCTTTGGGAATTAGACAGAAGAACTGCTTGTCAGCTTATAGCGTATGTCATTTGATGGTCAGCCTTTTATTTTTAATATTAACTTGAAATAAATTAAGTTGTTAAGACTAAATTGATATTGTGTAATATGATATTTTTATTTATTTTTTGGAAAATATCAACTAATTCAGAGCATCATGTCTCACAAACCTGAAAGCTTGGGGGGGGGGGGGGGGGCTGCAGATGGGCATTTGTCAAGCTCTAACAAAACCAGTTGAGGATCTGTAATGTAATATTTGTTATAATTAATACCTACACCACAGGAGATGTATAAACAAATATGATAAGGAATGGAAAAATCCTTGAAATCCTTGTATCAAGGTTGACATGATTTTCTTGCACTTTAAAATGTTTATGACAATTGAGCAATATTTGACAGGCGTATCATGCTGTGGCGGGGCACTTTTTTTTTTAGCTCACCTGAGCCGAAGGCTCAAGTGAGCTTTTCTGATCACATTTTGTCTGTAGTCTGTCTGTCCGTCCGTCTGTAAACTTTTCACATTTTCGACTTCTTCTCAAGAACCACTGGGCCAATTTCAACCAAACTTGCCACAAAGTATCCTTGGGTAAAGGGGATTCAAGTTTGTTCAAATGAAGGGCCATGCCTTCTTCCAAGGGGAGATAATTAAGAAAAATTAATGGCATCATTAAAAAAATCTTCTTCTCAAGAACCACTGTGCTTGAAAATATGAAACTTATGTGGAAGCATCCTCAGGTAGTGTAGATTCAAGTTTGTTCAAATCATGACCCCCGGGGGTCAGGTGGGGCCACAATGGGCGATCAAAGTTTTACATAGGAATATATAGGAAAAATCTTTAAAAATTCTTCTTCTCAAGAACAGCAAAGCCATGATTGGTCATATTTAAATGGAAGCATCCACAGATAATGTAGATTCAAATTTGTTCAATTCATAACCCCCCCCCCCCAACCACTTTTATATTTAAACTTTTCAACCTTTCAAGACTGACTGATTTCTGCTTTACCTAGCCATAGTGCTCAGGTGAGCGATGTGGCCCCTGGGCTTCTTGTTTTATATGGCATAACTGGACATCTACTTTTGGTCTTTTATATAGCTCTCTATTGTATTAAAATCAAAGTACCCATAGTACTAAATCTGTGCACATTAAACAGAATGATAATAGAAAAAAAACCTAAGGGCTTCAGTGACATCTTACATTATGAAAACAATTTTAAGAAAGTCTTATGAAAACTATATTTAAAAAAAAAAAAATCGATATTGTAGCCTAGTTTCCTGTCCCTGTTTTTCTTCATCTGTGTAAAGAACCAGTCTATGGCAACACTGACCATCAAAAAACCTTACGCATACATGTATATATATGAATTCAGCTGTTTTACAAAAGACTGAAATTTTTAAAATCAGTCCTGTTGAATTTTTTGTGCGAAAAAGTCCTATTATTTTTATGTTGGTTGTAATGTTAAGCATTTATGTTGTCTCAGAAAGTGGTTGAGGGTAATCCCTATGTTATTACTAGGGATGTCAATTTTCTCAATAATTCATATTCGAATATTTCAATGAAAGTATTCGAATATATTCGAATATTTGATAAAATAAATAAAGTCTGTTTTAATTAAATATGCATCATCTTACTCTCATGAAGGTTTAGCATAGGAAGACTTATATTTAAAGTAAAAATGTATGAAGACTTTTGTAGGGGTACAATAAGAAATTTTATTTGATATTTATCAATGTTTGAAATAAATAATTGATTTAAATGTAGAAAAGTATAATTTTAACAAATGAAACATGTATTTATGGTAGCTCCAACTGAGGAACCAGTCGTCTTGCCAGATGCAAGATATAGTCGTAATGGTATACTGTTCAGATTTCAACACATGTAATAAATTACAATTATCTATCTAATAAAAGATATGATTAAAATCTTTGATACAATGTTTTTAAAATATAAACAAATATTTCCATAGACAATTTTCTTAGGTAATTAACTAATTTCCCGATAATGAATATAAAATTCAGGATTATGTACAACCCGAGATAATCAAGTAATTTACACATTTATTCAGAAATTGAGCCCTTTAAAATATTAATTACAGACTAATTCTATCAGACATTCATTCAATGATCAATTAAATTTATTTTGATAAATATACTCTTCACGTCTTTTAGACTACATAAGTAGAATACGTAAGTAGACTACATTAATAAAGTAAATAATTCTTTGTAATCTGTTTTTGATTTCGATGAACGGTGTTGCCTTGGTTACTAAAAAAAGAATTTTTTTTTTTAATTTTCAAAACCCTTCTCCTCTTACAGTTTTGGTCCAGTTTTAATAAAATTTGGTACACAGACAACATAAAGATGCATTGTTCCATTTTTTATTTTATATTTATTATGATGAAAGATGTTGCCATGGTTACCAAAAAAAAAAATTCTTTAAATTCTTTTTAAATGCTACTTTTCCTAAAGTTTTAGTCTGATTAGACTTTCTATGCAACATGTGCAAGTAGACTTCACTAAAACACATCAGTAGAGCTTCAGTCTCGTCAGAGACTTCTGGTTATGAGAAAATATAAGGACACCCATTGGAAAACCTTTCCTGAGCTTTAATCATTCCTTTGAATTTGTTAAAACACTTGATGAATAATGGCAGCAAATTCTGCAACACCATCCACTATTTTCCTATGATTGTCAACTTAGTCACTTTCTCACAGAACAACTTTTTTACTCAATATTTAGTACGAGTTTCGATGTTATGTTTGACACACTCTTAAAACTTTAAGAGCTCTTGAGTATAACTTCATATGATAGACTGTAGTCATTGAAACTTACTCTTAGATTGCAAACATATCAGTCAACGTGCATCCAAATAATGAACTTCACTGAAATTTTGTCTCTTGTTGTATAATTTTTTATGATCAATATACTAAACACACAAGATTCTGACATCATTTGGGAGTTATTACATCATAATAAATATAAAGTGATGTCACAATTTGTGCATTTTTTCCTAATCTCTTGAATGATATTGAATTCATTAACACCCTAAAAGTGTAAATATTTTATCAAACATTCTCAGAACTTTCAAATGCTCTCGTAACAAAACTACTTTACATGTATCTCATGACAATAGGACTGTCAAAGTAATACTAATTGGGATTTGTTTATATTATGATTAGTTCCAGCCTGTTTGGAAATCATTGGTAGCTCTGGGTGCTACTCTGCAGATCCAGCTTGCAGGTAAGAAGATATTTAGCTCTACTGATCAGCATCTTTGCAAGCCAAGGGATTTTGGTCAGAGGGAAGCAGACCGAACACCCTTGGCTTGCGAAGATGACTGATCGGAGATTAGAAGAGCTTTTGCAATGCTGGGGTGTTGTTGTCTGTGTGTTTAGTTGTTAGTCTGTAAACAATTTTTCAAAACGATACTCCTGAAGTTTTGGTCTAATTTGGTCTACTCGACATTTTCATCAAACTTAATACATTGATACAAATTGAAGAGAAAAATTCGACTGTGTTAAGATTTTTTGACCTTGACTTTAGTTTCACTTTTCAAGATTCAAATTTCAAATAAAAGCAATTTAAATACTGTGAAATTGCTATTTTTTGGGGGGAGGGGGTAATTTTTTAACCAGATTTTCCAAAGGAAAAATCCATTTACATTGTATAGTGAAAGTGCATTATTTCTTTGCAAATCTTCTTCTCTGCTCCTACTAGGTATTTAGCACAAAAAACCAAGTATATTAATAACTAGTAGACTAATTGTTCTCGAACAATTAGAGGTCTTTCCACCTTCTTTAAATTCAATATATTTTTCATATTTTACTCTCTAAAGTTAATTTTTATACAAAAAGAAACCATAAATGGCTTGAAAGACAGAAAAAATGAAAATTTTCAAAATTCTGAAATGACCTTGACCTTTGACCTTGAACAAATATTCAAGGTCAAAGGTCAAGGGTCACATTCCACTTAACCCCATGCTTCTACGACTTTTACTTTTAAAGTTACAAGGTTTAATAGTAAGCACAAAGACGTTAAAGGGCGATAACTCATATAAGGGGTCAACGGATACTTTCGCACTGAATAGATTGAAGTTGTGTCTAAAGACCCTGAAGACATTAGTGAAGGTTTTGTGTCTCTATGGTTTACGGTTTCGGAGGAGTAGCGATAACAAGGTTTTCATTAAAAGGGGCAATAACTTTTAAAGGGGTAAATCTTAGGGGACAAGTATGAAATCTTTGAAATAGTTTTAAGAGGACATATCAATGATGCAAAGATATTTATTATATATTGAAAGACAAAAGAGATATAAAAAGAGCATAATTTCTCATATTTTGAATGACCCTGACCTTTGACCTTTGCATATATTTTAAGGTCAAAGGTCAATGAATCTGATGCAGTTGGTCCCATGTCTCTATGACTTATCGTTTTGAAAATTTTTAATTATTTGCAAACATCAAACACTTTCAGGGGCAATAACTCATAAAAGGGGTTGACGAATACTTTCGCAATGAAAAGATTGAAGAGTCTACTCAATTAGTCGAAGACATTGGTGAAGGTTCCGTATCTCTACGGTTTACGGTTTCAAAGGAGTAGCGATAACAAGCTATTCTTGCAAAAGGGGCAATAACTTCGTAAGAGGTCATAGGTCAAACACGGGGGGTCGTTTTTCGGAATAACTTTTGATATCCAGTATCATGAACTATAAAGTTTTTCGATAAGTCTTGAGGTTTCAAAAGTCCGGGAAGAAAAATAATAATAATAATAATAATAATAATAATAAACATAAGCATTTCAAGAGGTCTTTCCACAGAAAGGTGGAAAGACCTAATGATGATCAAGGGTGTCTCTTCCAAAATTATTCAATATCTTGGCCCCTGGATCAAGTGTTTTGGTGTTAGGGTGGTGGTCTATTTAATATAATATAGTGAAAAAGCATTAATTCTTTAAAAATCTTCTTCTATCCCCTGTATATAATGCAGATAAACTCATTGCATGGGTATGATGATCAAGGATGCCTCTTCCAAAATTGTAAATTTTCTGACCCCAGGGTGAGGGGTTCTCACAATGGGAGAGGGGCGCTTTTTTTATTATATAGTGAAAGTGCATTATTTCTTTGCAAATAATCTTCTCTGCGCCTAGGTATTTAGCAGATAAACCAAGTATATAGTTATGATGATCAAGGGTGCCTCTTCCAAAATTGTGAATATCTTGACCCTTGGGTCAAGGTACTGGTGTTAGGGTGGAGCTCTATTGATCATATAATGAAAATGCATATATTAAATTTTTTTAAAAATCTTCTATCTCCCTGTATATAATGCAGATAAACTAATTGTATGGGTATGATGATCAGTGGTGCCTCTTACAAGATTGTGAAATTTGTGGCCCCAGGGTGAGGGGTTCTGTGGGAAGGGGTGACTCTATTGATTATATAGTGGAAGTGCATTATTTAGTGAAAATCTTCATCTGTGCTCCTAGGTATTAAGCAGATAAAACAAATATATAGTTATGATGAGCAAAGGTGCCTCTTCCAATTGTGAAATTTGTGGTCCCAGGATCAGGGGTTTTGTTGTTACATTATAGGACAGGGCTCTATTGATTATGTAGTGAAAGTGCATTATTTCTTTGAAATCTACTTCTCTGTCCCTGGGTATTTAGCAGAGAAACCAAGTATATAGTTATGATGAGCAAAGGCAACTCTTTCAAAATTGTGATTATCTTGGCCCCTGGAACAGGGGCTTTGGTATAAGGGTGGGGCGATGTTGAATCTATAGTGAAAATGGATTATTTCCTTGAAAATCTTCTTCTCTGCTCCTGAGCATCTAGGAGGCAAATAGAGTATATAAAGTTGTAATAAGCAGGGATGTTTTTACCAGATTTTGAAATTCTGTACCCTTTGATCAATTTATTAATTTCTACTGAAGAAGTTATTCCCCTTTGCTATTCACCTATAGGGTGAATTCACCATGCGTTGGACACCCTTGCACTTCAAAAAGTTTTAGCGATATCGCTACCGACTGAATATTATCGAAATGGAACTTAACATGTAGTATGTGGTTAAAATATATATTTTATATTCAATATATACAATCATGTGCTATTTATTAAGAAAATATCATTAAACCCGATTTTTTCGAAATAGTCGGAATTCACCATGGAATGGACAATGTTCACCATGCATCGGACATACAGTATTTAAACCAGAAAAATATCATACCTTGATCTCGGTGCTTTAAAATCAGTGATATTGAAACATTTTTACCTTTTATTAAAAAATAAAACTTCTAGTTAAATTTGAATGACTATTTAATCCACAAATGTGAAGAGATTTTAAGTGATTCACATCGCCTTAGAAAGGCTTTACAATGCTAGTATTATGGCAACTGGCGCCTTTATCTCATGGGTTATCATCATCTAGTTTAAAGAAATAAATAAAGTCCACTTCTAGTCGTCATATGTCAATATCTTGTATTTTCACTTAAAATTTAGAGTTTTTATTCTCTATTTCCGTAAAAAAAACAGCTGTCATTTGGGTTTTATTAGGTCACCTGAGTCACTCAGGTGACCTATTGCTATCTGTTTTCGTCTGTCGTTGTCTGCATGTGTTAACATTTCAACATTTTAAGCTTTTAGCTGAACCAATTTCAGCCAATTTTAGCATATGGCATCTACGTGTGAAGGGGAACAAAATTGTGAATATTATGGTCCCTGCCCCCCTGGGGCCTGAGGGGTGGGGCTAAAACCACCAAAATGAATGCAATCTTTAAAAATCTTCTTCTTTACTCCTGGACATCAAGCAGTCAAACTGTTGGCATGATCGTAATAAGCATTGAGCCCTCTACCAAAATTGTGAAATTCATGGCCCCAGGGTCAGGGGTTCTAGTGCTAGAGCGGGGCTATATAGATCATATAGTGAAAGTGCATCATTTCTTTGAAAATCTTCTTCTCTACTCCTGGGTATTATTGAAACAAATTAAATAATAGTTATGATAAGCAAGAGTGACTCTACCAAAATCGTGAAATTCATGGTCCCAGGGTCAGGGGTTCTGGTGCTGGCGGGGGTGGGGGGAGGGGGGGGCTATGTAGATCATATAGTGAAAGTGCACTATTTCTTTGAAAATCTTCTTCTCTACTCCTGGGTATTATTGAAACAAATTAAATACATAGTTATGATAAGCAAGAGTGACTCTACCAAAATTGTGAAATTCATGGCCCCAGGGTCAGGGGTTCTGTTGCTAGGGGGCTTTATAGATCATATAGTGAAAGTGCATTATTTCTTTGAAAATCTTCTTCTCTACTCCTGGGTATTATTGAAACAAATTAAATACATAGTTATGATAAGCAAGAGTGACTTTACCAAAATTGTGAAATTCATGGCCCCAGGGTCAGGGGTTCTGTTGCTAGGGGGGCTTTATAGATCATATAGTGAAAGTGTATTATTTCTTTGAAAATCTCCTCTACTCCTGGGTATTATTGAAACAAATTAAATACATAGTTATGATAAGCAAGGGTAGTGAATTTCATGACCCCTGGATCAGGGGTTCTGATGTTAGGGCCAGACTCTATTTATTATATAGTGAAAATGCATTAATGCTTTAAAAATCTTCTTCTCTGCTCCTGGGTATTTTTGAAACAAACAAGTAAGTACATGTTATGATAAGACATGATGCCTTTCCAAAATTGTGAAATTCATGACCCCAGGATCAGGGGTTCTGGTTCTAGGGTGGAGCTGTATAGATCCTATAGTGAAGGTGAATTTTTTTCTATGAAAATCTTCTTCTCTGCCCCTGGGTACTAATTAAACAAACTAAGTACATTGTTATGATATGCAAGGATGCCTCTTCCAAAATTCTGAATTTCATGGCCCCAGGGTCAAGGGTTCTAGTTAAAAGGTTTGGGGGGGGGGGGCTTTATTGATTATAAAGTGAAAAAGCAAGATTTCGTTGAAAATATTCTTTTCTGCTTCTGGTTAAAAAGCAAAGATGCTAAGTATATAGTTATGATGAGCAAGAGTGCTTCTTCCAGAGTAGTGAATTGCATGACCCTGGGTCAGTTGTGCTGGTGTAAGGGTGGGGCTCTTGATAATATATTGAAAATGCATCAATTCTATTAAATAATTCTGTCTGCTCCTTAGTGTTAAGCAGATAAACAAAGTGATTACTTATGATGAACAAACTTCTGGTCCCAGGGTAAGAGACTCTAGTGTTTCTTGGTGGGGAGGGGGGGGGGGGCTCTATTGATAGTGAATCTGTAGTAAAAATGCATTATTTCTTTAAAAATCTTCTCTGCACCTGGGCATATCAGAGGCAAAAAGATTAAATATTTTAATAAGGAATGGTATTTTTACCAGATTTTTGAACATCTGGATCATTTGGTCAAGTGTTCTGGTCCTGGCCAGGGCTCTATTAATTTGTATTCTACTGAGAGGAGTTATTCCCCTTTGCCGTTTACTTTTGATAATTAATCACTGTAAACAATGTACTTGAAAGTTAATAGAATAAGAGAATTATGCAAGAATTTTTATTGTATAATACAGAAAGTATTTTCGTCAGGTAGACTTGTAAGTAATAGATAAATAAAAATGGAACAAAAATAACTTGTCTTATTAAATGTTCATCAAAGACCAAGAGAGGCCAATGTAAGAGATTTCAACAAGGAATTAAAATAGCACAGAAGCACTGATAGTTTTTTAATATACTGTATGATGATAGTGATAAATTAGGGAACAGATTAGAACCTTATTTATAAACTGTCAATGAATACTAGATTAATTATTTTGTTGATCCTGATCACCCTATTTTTCTTGCTTTTGAGCAACAAAGCTTCACCTTTCAGTTCATTTTATACTCTATGGATCCTCTGAATTGTTGTATTATACTCAGGTGACCGTTAAGGCCCTTGGGCCTCTTGTATGAAAATGGAAGTGATTACTCTTGCATCGGAAAGTGTCCAATGCATGGTTAATTTGTGTCCGATGTACGGTGAAATAAACATACTAGTAAAAAACAACTCTAAAAATTATTATACAAACATTGAAGTAAAATTTTGAAAAATTTCTGTAAAATTATCAATCATTGACAATTTTACCTAAGGTCCAACTCGTTCCATTGAAGTCTAATTAAAAGAGCGACAACTCTAAAAATTGCAAAATCGTAAAATTCTGGTTACTCCCCTTGATGCAAAATATGACGTAATTTCATGGCCATTCTTGTGGTATTTTTATCACGACATGAAAATAAAAATCGGCATCATTAAAAAAATTTAAAATCTTTACCTTTGAGACAGAAACAAGTAAAAAGACGGGGAGACTCAGGTTCAATGAAAGTTTATTGCTTAAAGTTGTCCGAAGCAAGGTATGTGTCCCATTCCATGGTTAACTCACCCTAATAGTTAATCACTGTAAAGAATGTAACTTAGGCCAACATTTTTTTATATCCTGTATTACGGGAGCGCAGACCCTAACTTGGGCTAAAATGAAATAAAAATAAAAGTCCCTAACTCAAGTTTTATTTTTATTTCTCCTGCCGATAGTTTATTTGTAGTCACTGAAAAAATAAAAGATATATAAATAAACCTTTTCATAAGCTTTCAAAATGCGATTTGTCATTGGCTGAGGTAAATATATTCATCCAATCACAGTATTCGAAGTGTGAATAGTCACTGCACAACATAGCGCCAATATGTCAGAATCGGAGGGTTTCATATTAAATAGCCATTTTAAAAAGTGACATGTCAATGTCATATATTAGAACAAGAGGCCCATGGGCCACATCGCTCACCTGAGAAACTCTGGCTATGCTGTTCTTTACCAGATTTCCCCACTTCTAATACCTATTGTGGCCCCGCCCTAACCCCGGGGGTCATGATTTGCACAATTTATGCCCTGTTCACACGGAGAGTTATTAATGCGAAGTAAAATGATGCGAATTAAACTAATGCGAATTAAATTGCGTTGACATGACAGCTAATGCGAAGTAAACTAATGTGAATTATAATTTTATTTCTACAACATGGCTATTCAGTGAGGCTGTTATGACGTCATTTACAAATCATGGCATATTGTGCAGAGCGGATACATTTGACATAATGTCATAGTGTCAATACACATTTTAGTGATTAACAAAATTTTCCTTTGTTTTCCACTCAAAAATAGCACAAGTATCTATATTTGACCATCGACATGTGGCCTGTGACTTCATTCGGCCCTTACGCATGCATCAACATTTAATTTGAATTAGCTTCGCTTAGCATTCACATGGAGCTAATGCGAAGTAATTTAATGCGCAGTAAACTAATTCGAATTTATATTAATTTGAATTGCGTAGAAAAAAATATTATACAACTTTTCTTTTTATCATGTCTCACGTGCAATTTTGTGAATTAATTTAATTTAATTTAAAATAGTTCATTGATACATTAACAGTACAAGTTTCGTGTTTTGTATACACGAGTTTTTCAAAAAAAACACTTTTTCCCTAACAAATTAAGGTCATAGAAAAAATTCCATCCTTAATTAAAAATAAAAATTTTTATTGCACTTTTTCATTTTATTTCTATTTTTCTGACTGACTGCTTAAATTTCGAGCTTTTATTTTTATTTTTATTTCAACCCCCTGACTCAAATTTTTGAAAAAAATTCCCGTAAAACAGAAAATAAAAAAATGTTGGCCTTAGGGTCATTGAATAACAATTATACAAGAAATTTTTATAATATTTAAAACAAAAGTACTTTCATATTTTTTAATGGTCAGGAAAAGTTTTAAATAATAGATAAATGAAAATGGTACAGAAATACCATATCTTTGTACAGTAAATAATTTTAAAAGAGCAAGAGAGGCCAATTTGAGTGAAGTTGTTAACTGATAGTGCTATAGAAGAGTCCGCATGAGGATGGTGACAAATGGGGGAAAGTACAGGCAAATAAATAGATCATCTTTAAAGATTTTTTATTGAGTACTAAATTAATATTTTGCTGATCCCTGATTATTCTATTTCTCTTGTTTTTGGGCAACATAGCTTTATTTATCAGCTTATTTTGTTTTAATCTATGGATTGTTACATTATACTCCGGTGACCGTTGAGGCCCTTGGGCCTCTTGTTACTTTTTAAAAATTGATTCAACTGTTACATGTAATCAGATGAGTGGCAACTTCACAATTTATTAAAAAAAATTGCTCTGCTTGCATAAATATTCTGGGAATTGCAAGGTATATAATTAAGGATAAAATTGAAAGTTGTTGGAATTTTGTAATGTTATCTAGTCACCACTGAAAGGGGAGGGGATGTCTGATCATAAGCAGAAACTAGTTCACTTTTCAAAAACAAACAGGGAACTAGTGTATTATGTGATTCATTGGCTTAATTTTCATCCAATTTGGAATTCTATTGATTTCTTTAATTACAATTCAGTCGGAATGCAGAGAGGAGATTAAATTTTATTTACCTTATTTTCTGCCAAAAGATATCATAGCATACATTTCAATGGATAACTTAACCTGTTTCAAAAGTAATTTCCCTTTTTACAAACATTTACTTTTGTAAGAATTGCAAATATTTCAGATGAGTAGATGAACAAATGATTTTTATATTTGTAATGATTGTCTTGAAATATTTATTTTCAGTTGAAAAATTTAATCGAACCACTTGTCGTCAACCTTGAATATGACAGAGATGTATTTGTATAGCATTTGTGCGGTCACCAACAATGATAACTCAGATCTGTTTTCTTTGCAGAAAAGTAAATCCTCCTACACAGACAGAGAGGATAATAGATATGCTTCATGTTATCATACCAGGGATTTTCCTTTTATTAGCTGCTATTTATACATGTATCACACTCTTCATTTGTCAGAAACGAACTCCCAAAGGTAAAGTAGTACATTATTAGCTCTTCTGAGCCAAAGGCTCAAAGAGCTAATGCTATGGCCATTTGCGCGGTGTGCGTAAACTTTTTAGAATATGGGTCATAACTCAAGAACCCCTTGGCCAATTATTGTCAAATTTGTCACAGGGTATCCTTGGCCCAAGGGCTCCCTTTTATACTAAAACTAGGGTTGTGACCCTTAAACAAGGGGAGATAATTAGGAAAATAGAAACAAAAGTACTGGTTGCTAAAAATCTTCTTCTTAAGAACCACTGGGCAGATTATCACCGAATTTACACAAAAGGATGAGTATATAATGTAGATTAAAAATTGTTCATGGCATCACCCTGGGGCAAAGGGCGTGGTCTCATGGTCACTTCAAAGTTGACCAAAAATTACATTTTATTAAAATGTTGATATTTTTCTTACTATAAGGACTAGAATCATCAAATCTTGTCAGTTGATGCATCTAAGGATCTCATATCATATTGACTTAAAAGTAGGGCACAGTTACCTACTTTTTAAATTTTGCAGCCATTCTTTTTCAAAATGATTTAGAGGCTTATTTTGAACAATTTAAGGCATATGATCATCAAACTGTGTCAGTTGATGTATCTTGGGTCTTCAAAGTATGTCAACTAAAATGTAGGTCACCTTGACCTACTTTTTGAATTTTATGGCTAATCTTTTACAAAACAATTAACGAGGTTCACTCCTGAGCTTTTAAGCAGATTTTTATTTTAACCTATATTTAAAAAATTCTGTATAATGTTTTAATTCTTACAATAAATTTGGATTCTACAATGCCAAATAAACTATATTCAGTTAAAACTCCATGTTTAAATTCCATACCAAAAGCATTAAGTTAAGAACTATATTTTGTGGCGGAAGGTTTTTTAGATGAAAATGTTCATTTTTCTCTTTCGAAGTATTTAAAGTATGTTAAGTTTGGATTCCTATTTTTACATGCCGTCTGCACAAAGACTTATTTTGTACAGTGAACTGTTTTATACTGGTCCTAAATTATTTATTAAATAAACTTTCATGAATTCTGATCATCATATTTCAATTGATAAATATAGCAAATATATTGTGAAAATGAAGGAAAAAAAATAACCCTAATTTAAGCTCAAAATTGGCACTATTTTAGTAATATCTAAAAATTATCATCACAGACCCCCACTTTTAACTTTCTTTTCTGAATATATAAGATACTTTTAACCATTCTTCTTAAATTCAGTAAAATGTTATTACTTTTAAATGAATTTTTGGCTTGTTAAATTTTTAATGATAGCAAAATGAAATTTTTGAGTGCAAAAGGTCAAATATTTGAACATGCGGAGTAAATCGAAAAATTTTTCATTGTCAGAAATTTTAATGGGTATATATCCAAGATGAAATAAGACTGCCTGTTCTCATAACTTATTTGAATAAAAAAATTTTGGAGGAAAAACTTTAAAAATTGATTTATGTGGAAGACGTATTTACATTGCAAAAAGGTCAAACTAAATGCTCCGTAGCGCCAAAAGAAGCGCATTGACCCCCATTTTTTGATTTGATTTTTAATTAAGCTATGTGTATAAATTCTAAAAATATACTTGATAAAAAATTCTAATTACTTTTGGTGGCAGGATCCAACCTCCTTAAGGTCAATAATTTGAATACTGAGAGGTTTAGAATCATGAAATCTTGCAAGATGATGCATCTTGGGGCCATAAAACATATGTTTAAAAAGTAGGTCACAGTGACCTACTTTTTGAACTTTGCAGGCATTCGATTTCAAAGCGTTTTAGAGGCATAATTTGGAGATTTAAGGCCTATGATCATAAAATTTTGTAAGTTGATGCATCTTGGGTCATTGCAGTAGGTTGACTGAAAAGTAGGTCACCATGACCTACTTTTCAATTTATATGACTATAATTAAATATTTCAGGTACTAATTGGCTTAGAATCATCAAACTTTGTCAGTTGATGCATCTTGGGTCTTCAGAGTAGGTCAACTGAAAAGTAGGTCACCATGACCTACTTTTGAACATTTATTGCTTTAATTAAATATTTCGGGTACTAATTGGCTTAGAATCATCAAATTTTGTCAGTTGATGCATCTTGGGTCTTCGGAGTAAGTGAAAAGTAGGTCACCCTGACCTACTTTTGAAAATTTATGGCTTTCATTATATATTTCAGGAACCAATTTGCTAAGAATCATCAAACTTTGTCAGTTGATGCATCTTGGGTCCTTGGAGTATGACAACTGAAAAGTAGGTCACCTTGACCTGCTTTTGAAATTTTATGGCTGTATTTGATATTTTCAGGTACTAATCAGCTAAGAATCATCAAAATTTGTCAGTTGATGCATCTTGGGTCATTGCAGTAGGTCGACCTACTTTTCAATTTATATGACTTTAATTAAATATTTTCGGGTACTAATCGGCTTAGAATCATCAAACTTTGTCAGTTGATGCATCTTGGGTCTTCGGAGTAAGTCGAACTGAAAAGTAGGTCACCATGACCTTCTTCTGAAAATTTATGGCTTTAATTAAATAATTCAGGAATAAATTGGCTTAGAATCATCAAACTTTGTTAGTTGATGCATCTTGGGTCCTTGGAGTACGACAACTGAAAAGTAGGTTACCCAGACCTACTTTTGAAATTTTATGGCTGTATTTGATATTTTTGGAGTACTGTTTGGATTAGAATCATCAAATAGAAGTGATAGGTTGTACAGTTTATCAAAAGAGCGATTCAAGGCCCTTGGGCCTCTTGTTTTATAAAAAGAACTCATTTTCTAGAGATACAATTTTGTAGCATATATTTGATGGGTTTTATGGACATTTTAAAGCCCTGCATACTGCCATGAATATGGCTGAGGCATATACTGTATATAGGGAAATTTTGGCCCCCTTTTTATTTTTGCCCCTTTCGCCCTACTTTTAATTGGGCAAATTTAAAACGGGGCAAATTCAAAGAACACTGTAGAATTTCTTAAACAGAACTGTGATGACTGGGCGAATTTAAAATGGGCAAAATTGTTTGCAAGTGTGAAAGGGGACAATATCATGGGGCGAAAATAACACTATACAGTAGTGTTTGTTTTGTCCATCTACCATCTTTCAGTCTGAATGTCTGTCACACTTTGCATTTAGCTTGGTTTCAAAGAAACTATTCAAGATATTTTAACTAAAATTCATACATTGATATGAGCTATTCAACTTTGGCAAAATTTGTTTCACCTTGAACCCCTTAATCTCACTGTTATCTATTCTGTGTTTAGCTCAGTTCCAAAGTCACTATTCAAGAAGTTTTTATCAAAACTCGAACATTGCTTCATATTCGTGGAAGGTATTCAACTGATTGAAGATTCATAATTTTCTGCCATTGACCTTCGCTTTGCTTGACCTCATTATTGCTTTTTTCGTCTGTCGTGTTCAGTCTTTAACTTTTGAACATTTTCAATTTCTTTTCCAAAACCGCTAAACCAATTTCAACTAATTTTGGCATATAGCATCTATGGGTGAAATATTCTAATACTATGATTTACTATGTATCTTCATATGCAAAGATGCTTGGGGAACTGAAACTTTTCAGACTTTCATACAGATGTTGTACATAGTTGCATTTAAGTAGTTTTTCTTTCAGGATTTACATTTAAATTTCTTTTTTCAATTTATCTAATTTTAAAAAATTAGGTTACTTGTATAAAATACCGTCCTCAAGTATTGGTCAAAGCACCCCACAATTTATTTTTAAAGAGGGGAAGACGATAAGAAACCATTTCTAATCATTTTCAATTTGTGAAAATATCATTATTGGTTTCGTTAAAGAATATTCTCCATGCGGCGCTTTGACCAAGAATTAGGGGGCGCTTTGACCAAAACCAGGGGGTGCTTTGACCAATACTTGGGTATTTTAACATCAATTTCCTGTAAAATTCTATAATGGGGCACTTTGTCCAAAACCAGGGGGCACTTTGACCAAAATCAGGGTGCATTTGGACCAAAATCAGGGGGCATGATTGATAAATCAAAATGAGACAAAAATAACGTATCTCATTAAACGTTCTTCAAAGACCAAGAGAGGCCAATGTGAGAGGTCACAATATGGGATCAAAAGTGGTACAGAAGAACTAATAGTTTGTTAATTGTCTGCATTGTGATAGTGATAAATGGGGGATAGATTAGAATTTGATTTATAAGCTGTTACTGAATACTAGTAAGACTAATTATTTCATTGATCCTGATCATCCTATTTCTCTTGCTTTTGGCAATAAAGCTTCATCTATCAGTTTATTTCATACTTTATGGATCCTCTAAATTGTATTATACTCAGGTGACTGTTAAGGCCCTTGGGCCTCTTTTTTGTGTATTTAGCACAGTTTAGAAGAAATTGTTCATTAATATTTTCTTAAAAATGTATACAATGATACATATTGGTGGGGGTTATTCATCTGTCATACATTGACCTGTTCCCTTTACTTAACCTCATTATTCAGGTCTGAATGATTTCCATGTATGGAAGTCAAGAACGATAACCATAAATTGTTATAAATACACAAAAGAAACAAGATGTCAATCTTTCTGACCATTCAAATAACAGCATTTAGACAAACTCATGAGGAAATAAATAAAACACAATCATAGTTTTAAACTTTTTTGCTCAATATATTTTTAGGAACAAACTTTTTATAAATTTCATTCACATTTAGGATTAATTAATACAGTATATCTAACAAATTTTTCAGACTTGAAGGCTTACGAATAAATTTTAAGTGGGATTAAAAACTTGCACTATGAGGTATATAACACTTCCAGTAGTTTATTTGCATTAATATGGACTGTGATATAAATACGGCAGATTTTCAGTTTTTAGATCCTAACATGAGATGTTTTGGTGTTGGGGATATAATAGTCTTGATTATTTCCTGTGTACATGTGTAACAAAATTGTCCAGTTTCTGGTTTATGTGGTAAGTTATGGTGATAAAAAGCATTCATCTTTACATGTTACACCTTTCATTATACCCGTTTACATGTATGTAACAAGGTATTGAGCACCAGGCACGGATCATGGAATTTTTTCGGGGGGGGGGGGGGGGGGGGGGGGGGGGGGGGGGGGGGCACCCCAGTCAAAAAAAAATTTGCAACCCAGAAATTTCTTGACAATTAAGCAAAAAAAAAAAACCTTAACTCCTTTCCCAAATCTATCAAACCCAGGAAAATTTCTTGACAAGCAAAAAAAAATAATAATAATAAAAAATCCATTTCCCAAACGCGAATATTACCCATTTTGTGGTGGTAGTCCATGGGACCCCCCTTAAACCCCCCTCCCCCGATCCGAGTGAGCACTCGTGAAACATATGATATTTTAAAGACACAAACCACAAACAAATTTTCTTATCTCCTATACAGATCAGTAACATTGCTATTTTTTCATTATTTCTCTCAATCAAAAAAAAATCTAATTAGAACATTTTAATTATGTAAAATGTAGAAATAGACTCTAGAAAATGTTCCTAGAAATTTTCAGTAACAAAACTTCAGATATTTCTAAAAATTTTCAATATTTATTTTAGATGTAAAGTTACATTTTCCCACTTTTCACCAAGTTATGTAACTTGGTCAAACATAAAGTTGTTAACTAAACAAATATCAGTTCTTTAGTCAGAGAGGCTCCTATTTCATAAAATATATTTAAATTTTGGAAGAAAAGAATTTGTTTGTGTTTAATTTATCCTTAAAACTTGTATATTGGTTGAACACTTGCTTGCAGTAGATTTATACGCATGGAAACTTTACATTATTGATAAAAATCAGATGGCTAAGCAAAATTATATTTACTATATTTTCTCGTAAATGTTATAATATATAATAATGTTATTTGTAGTATTTTGATGGTTTGACTCATTTCTCCATAAAATGATTGCATTTTGATACATGCATTTTATGTGTTGGTGTTTTTTTTTTCCCCCCGAGATGAAAATGTCAAGTTTGTTCATTAAATATGTGGACAGTACCTTATTCTTCCAAAATTCTCATCTTACTTCTGAAGATTTTTGTCATTTAAATCTTGTTGAGGAAAATACAAAAGCATCTGTTTTCTTTTTGTTCCTTTGAAATCTGTTTTGAGTTGTGTTGAAATGCTGTTTTCTGATTGGTCAAAATTTGTTTATGTGTAAATGAAGTATATATTTATAGCAACATTCAGTTATTGTACTTGACTTACATGTAAGGAAATTGTCCAGACCTGTAATTGCTTATTTAGCATACCTGAGCTGAAAGCTCAAGTGAGCTTTTCTGATCATCCGTCCATCCATCTGTCCATCCATCTGTAAGCTTTTCACATTTTTCAACTTCTTCTCAAGAACCACTGGGCCATTATTTAAACAAAATTTGGTACAAAGCATCCCGAGGTCAAGAGGATTTTAAATTTTTAAAATGAAGGGCAAAGCCTCATTGTAAGGGGGAGATGATCAAGAAACGGCAAAAATAGGGTCAGGTCATTAAAAAATCTTCTTGTTAAGAACCACTAGGCCAGAAAAGCTGAAACTTCTGTGACAGCTTCCTTAGGTAATGTAGATTCTAATTTTTTTCAAATCATGGCCCCTGGGGGTAGGGCTGGGCCACAGTAAGGAATCAAAGTTTTACATTGAAATATACTGGAAAAATGTTTAAAAATATTCTTCTCAAGAACCACTGGGCCAGAAAAGCTGAAACTTATGTGGAAGCTTCTTTAAGTAGTGTAGGTTATAAATTGTCCAAATCATGGCCCCTAGAGGAAGGGTTGGACCAATTGGGAATGAAAGTTTTACATTGAAATATAAAGGGAAAATCTTTAAAAATCTTCTGAAGAACTGTTGGATCAGAAAAGCTGACACTTATGAGGAAGCTTCCTGGGGTAGTGTACATTGTAATTTGTTCAAGTCATGGTCCCTGGGGGTAGGGTGGGGCCACAATAGGGACTACATAGGCAAAAATCTTTAAAATTCTATACTCAAGAACAGAAAAACTATAATTAATTATGTTAATATGGTAGCATCTTCTGCTCGTGTTGATTCATTTTTAGCTCACCTGAGGGTGGGGCCACAATGGGTGATCAAAGTTTTACATAGGAATATATAGGAAAAATCTTTAAAAATCTTCTTCTCAAGAACAGCAAAGCCATGATTGGTCCTATTTACACGGAAGCTTCCTCAGATAGTGTAGATTCAAGTCTGTTCAAATCATGACTCCCTGTGGGTCGGGTGGGGCCACAATGGGCGATCCAAGTTTTACATAGGAATATATAGGAAAAATCTTTAAAAATCTTCTTCTCAAGAACAGCAAAGCCTTAATTGGTCATATTTACATGGAAGCATCTTCAGATAGTGTAGATTCAAGTTTGTTCAAATCATGACCCCCAGGGGTCGGGTGGGGCCACAATGGGCGATCCAAGTTTTACATAGGAATATATAGGAAAAATCTTTAAAAAGTTTCTTCTCAAGAACAGCAAAGCCATGATTGGTCATATTTACATGGAAGCATCCTCAGATAGTGTACATTTAAATTTGTTCAACTCATGACCCCTGGGGGTCGGGTGGGGCCACAATGGGCGATCAAAGTTTTACATAGGAATATATAGGAAAAATCTTTAAAAATTTTCTTCTCAAGAACAGCAAAGCCATGATTGGTCACATTTATATGGTAGCATCCTCAGATAGTGTAGATTCAAGTTTGTTCAAATCATGACCCCCGGGGGTCGGTAGATGGGCGAACCCATGATTGGTCATATTTACAAGGAAGCATCCTCAGATAGTGTAGATTCAAATTTGTTCAAATCATGACCCCCGGGGATAGGGTGGGGCAACAATGGGTGATCAAAGTTTTACATAGGAACACGTAGTAAAAATCTTTAAAAAAAAAACTATTTCTTAACAACAGCAAAGCCATGATATTCATATTCATATTCATATGGAACATTCTTAGATAGTGTTCATTCAAGTTTGTTCAAACATGACCCCTGGGGGTCGGGTGGGGCCACAATGGGTGATCAAAGTTTACATAGGAATACATAGGTTAAATCTTTAAAAATCTTCTACTCAAGAACAGCAAAGCCATGATTGATCATATTTAAATGGAAGCATCCTCAGATAATGTAGATTCAAATTTGTTCAATTCATGACCCCCCCCCCCCCCCTTTTATATTTAAACTTTTCAACCTTTCAAGACTGAACTGATTTCTGCTTTTTTTTCTAAATATAGTGCTCAGGTGAGCGATGTGGCCTCTGGGCCTCTTGTTGCTTATATTATGACCCTGTGTATTAAGGTTGGGTCTCAAAAGACAATCAAAATTTTTCATAGGAATACATGTACATGTATATTGGGAAGAAAAGTGATGCATAATAGTAGGGCCAAAGTGACTCAGTTGAGCCTTGTGGCCCATGGGCCTCTTGTTTTGTATTTTGCACAGTTTAGAAGAAATTGTTCCTTTATATTTTCATTATTTAAAAAATCATAACTGAGGGGCTATTCATCTGTCATAATTGTCTGACCTTCCTTGTGTCCTTGACCTCACTTTTTGTCATTAGAAACAGTTCAAGATATTTTAATCAAATTACAAATTGAAAAGAGCAATTTCAACTGTGTCATAATTTTCTAACCATGTCCTTTTCTATGACCTTGACCTCATGAACTATTCCTCATTTTGCATTTATGTTAGTTTAAAAAAACATTGAAGATCATATTTTCACCAAACTTCATAGTTACAAAGAAACTTCTAGAAATTCATGGCATTATCTAAAAAGAGGTTTAGAGTTAGAATCACCAAACTTTGTCAGCTGATGCATCTTAATTGGGTTCTCAGAGTGTGTTAACCAAAAAAACAGGTCTTATATGTAACATACTTTTGGAATTTCAAGGCTTTATCTAAATATTAGGATAATAAGTAGCTTAGAATAGAAGTGATAGGGTTGTACAATGTACAATTTTTATAACTAACATTGATAAAGCCAAGAGGTCAAGTCCTTTCATAGAGGTGTGCTGTGCCCTTTAATCAGATTAAAATATTATAAATTATCATCGTGCTACTGTATAATTATATTGCACACCATATTCAAATGAACATTCAACAGAATTAATGAATAATTTTTACAAAGCAGAAAGATTATAATTGATGTCAACTGCTAGCTGTTTTTGTCTAAACTATTTGTAGACCAAACGAAGAATCTTCAACAGAACTCTACAAAACACTTGGATGAAACTGATGAATCAAACCATATGTCTACTAGTATTCCTAGAGGTATGATCTTATGATATCAAATAATCAAGATACATAACTGTTGCCGTATTATTTATTCAGCATACTGAAAGACTATCTTAAGGTGGCTTTTTGCTGGAGTCCCTGACATACAAATTTGATTGCATAATTTTATTATTTTTTTCAGGGTTCATCCTCATAATTTAATTAAAAATATGTACATGTATATCTTAACAAAACTAGCTACCTCCATATGCTCTCTGCTTTCATCTTCCTTTATCCTACACACACTGATCAAAATTTTTGATGGGATAAAGAGGGAAGAAAAGCATTGCCACGGTTACTCAGATGAGAGTTCTGGCCCATGATCCTCTTGTTTATTTAAGTAAACACACCAGGCTATAAAATAAGTAGGTAGAAGAAAGACTGGGTTCAAATTTGTATGACATTCTAGTACAGTTAATGCCGAGATCAAAGAAATGCTGCAGGTCTGACATTATTCTCAAATAAATCACAAGTGTCATCCAAAAATTATCAGATCAGAAACACATATATCAAACCTGTACAGTTAAAATGAATATTATAGTGTAGAATCTACATGTAATACTTATTTAGACCATATCGATGTGTCGTCTTCCGCAGTCTAAACAGTGTGTATTGCCTAAAACAGCTGATAAATGTTGAGTTTTATAGTTAAGTGGGTTGGAGCTCCCCACAACATTTACACTACATGATTTTACTGATAAAGCAATAAAATAGACAACTGATTTTGTTATTTTACATTTCATAAAAAAATAATCAATATATTGTGACAAACAAATTTATGCAGAGTTGTGGAAAACTGCTGGTGTACCAGTGAATGCCTGCAAAACCGACAAAAAATGCGTGTGACTGGTAAAAATGCTATCGATGTTGGTCCAAATGACAGGCCCCTTTTTTGGTTAAAGTTTTTTGTTTTACCATTTATCATTGGCGCACTTCCCAGCTTAATTATCGTACCTTATATGCGATTGCGTAATACTTGTTCTTTATACAAGATCGAGGCTGTAAATGAAAGTGAAACCAGCATGGTCTCGTGACCTAATTTACAACTGGGGCAGAATTAGGTAGAAAATGGAAAGAAACAGATAAAGACAAGCTCAATATGTAAAAATTTCTACAGAAAGAATTCAAACACAGTTCGGAAAAGCGGTAAATCTAGTACTTCCGACTGTCCCGGATTTCGTTTTTTCATCGATCATGTTGATTTCTTTATTGTCGATGCACAGAATTTCCACAATTCTTTTAGACTCATTTTCTAGGTTAATGTAATTCCCAAATGCATAAATGTTAAAAAAAATTACATTTACTGTGCTGAATTAGCATTGTTACCTGCCCAAAAGCAGTGAAATCTAGAATTGTTATAAATGCAAAAAACAAACAAACTAACAAACAAACGAAAAAGGAAGAGGACTTGAAAATGGAGATTGAATGTTATATTATTATTAAGTAAATGGATGTGTAATGAAGTAAATAAATGTTATGTTTTTTTTTTATTTTGTGACTTACTAGTTCGGACCGGCAAAAATCACTTCGGACCGGCTTATTTTGTCTTCTTGCCAGTCTGAATGACTGGCTATCTGAAAAAGTTTTCCACAACTCTGATTTATAAATAGTTAAAGGATAATTTTAACCCAACCAAAGCTCAAATTGTCTGGATTTCATTCCAACCAATACACAAGTAAGCAAACAAATTGACCCTCTGATGTTACGAGGGGTGATCAAAAAGTTCGCCAACTAAACGAATAACTTCCATAGAGGAAATAAAATTAGATTTCGGTGTTTATTATTTTCAAAGTAGTTGTCTTCCATTTTAATGCACATCTGCCACCATTATGCCCATACAGGAATCACGTCATCCAGGCTGTCATGTGATATGCTCCATAATGTTCTATCCACAGACGCTTAAAGATTTTTCAAAGTCATATATTTCTTACCATGCAAGTTATTATTTTAAGAAGAATAGTCACAAATGGCCAAATCTCAGCAATAGGATGGGTGGATAAGGATATCTTTTCTCAGAATGAGCATGGTGACCATTACAACCTGACTTCTCTCTTGTGTGCATTGTTTTTCCATTGTGGATAACGTATGGGTGCCTTCTTTTTATCATATTTGATATGTTTAAAGTCTAAAGTAAACAATATTTCAGGGATTTGATAATTATAATATTCTTAATATATTCAACTATATTAATTTTCTAACTGTAACTTGGTGACCTTTTATAACAAATTGCTCAACTAAGGACACATTTCTTCCCCAGCTTACTTTCACTGGGTACCAGAACAAACATCATTTTTAACTATCTCCCTTCCTTTCCTAAAATAGTCAATCCAATTAATGATTGAAATTCTGGCAAGTCTTTTGTCTTCATAAACCTTGTACAAATTATTACATGCTACTGCAAAAGAATTTCCAAGATATACATTAAACTTTACAGTCTTTCGTTGCTCGAGTATGACTGAATCAGCCATTTTTAGCTCCTCTGAGCTGAAAGGTCGAGTGAGCTTTTCTGATCACCTGTTGTCCATCGTCCATCCGTCTAGCTGTCCGTCCGTCCATCCGTCTGTAAACTTTTCACATTTTAAACTTCTTCTCAAGAACCACTGGGCCAATTTTGACCAACATTGGTGCAAAGCATCCTTGGGTGAAGGGGGGTTTAAATTGTTAAAATGAAGGGCCAAGCCCCCATACAAGGGGAGATAATCAAGAAAAGACAAAAATAGGGTGGGTTCATTAAAAAATCTTCTTGAGAACCACAGGGCCAGAAAAGCTGAAACTTATGTGGAAACATCCTGGGGTAGTGTAGATTCTAAATTGTTCAAAGCATGACCGGGGGGGGGGGGGGGGGGGGGGGCACAATAGGGAATCCAAGTTTTTCATTAAAAAATGTAGAAAAATCTTTAAAAATCTTCTTCTCAAGAACCACTGGGCCAGAAAAGATGACACTTATGTGGAAGCATGCTAGGGTAGTGTAGATTCTAAATTGTTCAAATCATGACCCCCGGGGGTAGGGCAGAACCACAAAACGGAATCCAAGTTTTACATTGAAATATGCAGTAAAAAACTTTAAAAATCTCCTCTCAAGAACCACTGGGCCAGAAAAGCTGAAACTTATGTGGAAGCATCTGGGGTAGTGTAGATTCTAAATTGTTCAAATTATGACCCCCAGGGGTAGGGCGGGGCCACAATTGGGAATCCAAGTTTACATTGAAATATGTAGAAAATATCTTCAAAAATCTTCTTCTCAAGAACCACTGGGCCAGAAAAGATGAAACTTATGTGTACTCATTCTGGGTAGTGTAGATTCTAATTTGTTCAAATTATGACCCCCGGGGGTAGGGCAGAACCACAAAACGGAATCCAAGTTTTACATTGAAATATGCAGTAAAAAACTTTAACAATCTCCTCTCAAGAACCACTGGGCCAGAAAAGCTGAAACTTATGTGGAAGCATCTGGGGTAGTGTAGATTCTAAATTGTTCAAATTATGACCCCCAGGGGTAGGGCGGGGCCACAATTGGGAATCCAAGTTTACATTGAAATATGTAGAAAATATCTTCAAAAATTTTCATCTCAAGAACCACTGGGCCAGAAAAGCTGAAACTTGTGTGGAAGCATCTGGGATAGTGTAGATTCTAAATTGTTCAAATTATGGCCCCCAGGGGTAGGGCGGGGCCCCAATAGAAAATCCAAGTTTTGCATTGTAATATGTAGAAAAAAATCTTTAAAAATCATCTTCTCAAGAACCACTGGGCCAGAAAGGCTGGAATTTATGTGTACTCATTCTGGGTAGTGTAGATTCTAAATTGTTCAAATCATGACCCCCGGGGTTAGGGTGGGGACACTATTGGGAATCCAAGTTTTACATTGAAATATGTAGTAAAAATTTTCATCTCAAGAACCACTGGGCCAGAAAAGCTGAAACTTATGTGGACGCATTCTGGGATAGTGTAGATTCTAAATTGTTCGAATCATGACCCCTGGGGGTAGGGTGGGGCCACAATAAGTACTACAAGGGGGGAAATCAGGTGAAAAACAGCAAGGCCAAAGTTACTCAGGTGAGCATTGTGGCCTATGGTGCTCTTGTTCATCACAAGTCATCTACATATTGATGCATTTTCACATTGTGACGTCACAAACATGGAGCAAAACATTACATAAGATCTGCAATTTATAGAACATGTTTATGATTATATGTTAGCTAAATTTCATTATGATCTTGAATAATGGTTTTGTAAATATAGAGATAGTCCGCGAACTTTCTGATCACCCCTCATAAATGTAACAGCTAGGTAAATCGAGACATGGTGACTTAATTCATTTCTCTAAAGAGGAAACGATCAGCCATATTTTAGAGCTGTTAGTTTTGTTTGTTTATTGTTTAACATCCCACTTGAGAATTTTTCACTCATATGGAGAGGCCACCACTTGCCGGTGGAGAGCTGCAAATTTTTTACCTATACCAGGGCTCTAATTGGTGCCCAATTTAGTCGCCATGGCACCTAAAATTTTTGATTGGCGCCTAAAATTTTTCCATAAGTCGCCAAATTGGCGACCATTTTAAACTGACTTGACGATTGTCAAATTCTGGAAATTTTAACACTTTTAGCAATTTTTCTGAAAAAGCTAAATGAAAGGGAAATTAATTTTAGCAATGGACATGTCGTGTTTTCTTATTCACATCTTGGGTCCCTATATTGATTACTATTATCTTTTCAAGTTGGCACCTTAAAAATATTACCTGGCGACTAAAAATTTGCATTGGTGACTAAATTTTTTTAATAAGGTGCCAGCTGGCGCCTAAATTTTAGAGGCCACTTAGAGGCCTGTATATTTGGCACTCAGGGCGATTGAGCAGTGAGGGATCTTTTTTGTGCCAGCACCTACTGCGACAAGAGACCTCGGATTTTACAGTCTCATCTGAAGGAACAGTCTCCATGTCCTACTGTGGGATTCGAACCCACGACATAAGGATAAACTCTTTACTCGGTGACTCTAGAGTGAATGCTCTAACCACTGTGCCACGTGGGTGACGGGCGACTAGAGCTGTTAGTAGAATAGAAATGAAGTTCTTATTGTCGTGAATGATGCAGGATAAACTCCTCAGTCTCGAAATGTATTTTGAAATATAAAACCCTTCAAGTTGGCTCTTGTATTTCAAACAACATTTCTGGACCTCGGTTGTTATCCTGCAACATTCATGATAACGTGGACTTTATTTCTAAATTTGGGTAAGTGCTAAGTCTATAGTCCCCTTCTAAATATATGTACCATAAACTTGTATGTATTTACAAGCTGTGTGTTGAATGTACATAATGAATCAGAACACAATGATGAAAATATAGTCCTTTATAGAACTACTGCTATTTTATTGTTTTTGTAGCAGTCCTTGACAACTCCATACGGTGGACGAATTACAGTGCAGAACTTTTTAATGTCAAAGGTAAGAACTTTTTTTTTTTTACCTAAGCAAAGGGTTCAGAGAGCATTTTGATCAAAAAGTGTCCTTCTGTCTGTCATGTTGTATTTGTCTTCTGTTACCTTTTCAAATTTTTAATGTCTTCTCTAGTACCACTGGGCCAATTTCAACTTAGCACAAAGTATCCTTGGTCAGAATGGGTTCAAATCAATTTTATTGAAATAAAGAACCAATCCCATTTTCAAGAGGACATATTGATGAAGAAATATGAAAAATAAGGTGGGGTCTTTTATAAAACTTCAAAAACCACATTGTCAGAGATGAAACTTCAGTGAAAACTTTCAGAATGAATGTAGAATCAAGTTTTTATGATGGCTTCTGAAGCAACAATGAAGGTGGGAGTTTTACTTCAGAATATGTAATTAGAATCTATTAAACCTTTTTAAGGACAGCAGGGCAAATATTTTTCATTAATTGCAAGCATTTTCAAGTAGTGTAGAGTCAAAAATGTTCAAATCATAACCCCATGATCTAAGATAGGGAAAAAATAGAAAGTCAGACTTTTGTATAATTTTATATACAATGAACATAGTGTAAACAATAGTCTCAAGAACAGCAGGGCTCCAATTAAGATTTAAAATAAACAAGCATCCGCAAGTAGTGAAGATTTTAGTTTATTCTGATCATTGCCTATGCGGCTATTGTGGGGCACAGAACTCTTGAACAGGATTGAGTCAGTAAATATCAGAGGCAGAATAAAGATTCATTCATCATTTTAAAGCATTAATGTACATACATGTATAATTCGTAAAACAATAATGGCTTATGGGCCTTTAAATTTTATTTAGTTGCTTGATTCACCCTTTTACGTTTATTTTTATCAACATGTATATGTACATGTACAGTAAAACTCATTTAGTACAATTCTCTTTTCTACTTGAACTTTCAGTAAGGTGTGACATTCTCAGCTATACATAATTAGCATCTCTCAAACAGTGACCTAGATTCTCATGGGTTGCCAGAATAGCTCATCAATACTGAAATTTACACAGCTTTTCATTCAAGGGTGAAATACACATGGGATAAAAATAGATCAGACGTCAACAAGTGACGCAAGGAACCAATTACACCATTTCTTACAGTAAAGAGGTGTGGCTTATGTCATCTCATCATTTGTTAACAACAACCTTAAGTTGCTAATGTTATTAATTTCTCAACCAATGAGAATCTAGTTTACCATTTGAGAGATGCTAATTATGTATTGCCGAGAATGTCACGCCTTACTAAAAGTTCAAGCAGAAAAGAGAATTGTACTAGTACGAACACAGATATAGTGAATGTGTGGATATATTGAAGTTTTTTTATCCCCAGGAAATTCTTAAAGGTATATATGTTGTATTGTTGATAAATTCAGAAAACCAGAATTAAAAATATCTTTCTATTTGTTTCATTACTTTATATATAGATAGGACTTTTTTGTAATTTACATAATTTAAATCAATCAAGTTTCAAAGATATCAAAAATTTAAAACAATAACCAATTTATTTGCTGACTCCACAAAATAAGAGATTTGAATAGCAAAGTTTAAAGTCAATTTAACTTTAGAAACGTGAGGTTATCTGAGTTCAAAATTGTTGAAAATTTTAATTTGAATGTATATAATATACATCATGTGAATCTACACTCAATTTCATATCATTTTTTTTAGTTCAGATATGCCATATATAGCTTTAACAATTCCTTGTAAAATTTTATGGTTATAATGGACTTCGATTTATATTTTATGGTTTTACAAATATAGTGAACTGAATTTGTTTCCCCTAGACAATGCTAGAGGTTAAAAATAACAAAGTTTACAGTTTTTATTAATAGTGAATTTTCAAGATCTCAAAATTTTATATATTGAATTAACATTATTTTTTGTAAGTATTTATATTTGAAATTTAATTCATCAGAAAACTTTAGTTCTTGATGGTCCAAGGTTTGTTGTGTATGTATTTCAATACTTCTCTGAATATGTGCAGTTTTCATACTTGAAGGAAAACGTGTACTCATATATTGCGAATTCGCTGTATATATTTAAACAAATTTGTTTAACAGATATAACAGTAACTAATCGTGGATATGCGTTGGTAGCAAACCTTAAGTAAATTTACAGGTCCCAAGGACTTGGCTCTAGCCGCGTTTTACTGTATTTCTATTTATTGCATGGTTTCATGTGATAAATGTTTATTCTAGCAAATACAATAAAGGATCTACTAAAACATGCTGAGGATAATACATACACAAGAACCTCTGCAGTGACAGAAGCAATGACTATTCTTAAGAGACAACAGATAATAATTTTGACTGGAAAAGAGGGTGAAGGAAAAACAAAAACAGCACACCAAGTCATGTTTGAAATGTTAGAAAGTCATACTCCACTGAAGATTCGAAACAGAGAACAGTGGGACAGGATTGTGAATGCTAATTGTTCCTATGTGGTGTGTCTGGATGATGCTATAAATCCAACTTACATGAATGATTCAAAAGAATTCTTAGATCATATATATAGCTGTGTTGTAAAGGGAAAACTTTGTGCAATTCTTGTTTTTAGAACTAAAATGTTGGAAGAGTTAAAAGCAATATATCCTATTTTTGAACTGTTTAATTCAGATTACATCATAGATTTGACTGGGAAGATGAAGTTAAGTGAGAAAGGAGAAATGTTGAAACAGTATGAAAAAGGTACAGGAAGAAAGTTGAAATCAATCTCAGATAGAGAGGAAATACTCAGTACTGACACTTACTTTGGTTTCCCATTTACCTGCTCCCTTTTCTTTGCAAAAGATGATTTTTTCAATCAAGGTCCAACATTCTTCAGATGTACAAGTAGCATATTATATGCAAGAATTGATGGTTTAAAAAAAATGGAGGCTAACTTAAAGTCAAAAGTTTGTTACTGTGTTCTATGCTACATTTTGGTAAATGGTCCTGTCAACACAAGAAAAAAATATGATTTAAAAGAAATTGAAAACATGGTAGGAGTAGCACATATAAATCAAAGTAATTTTATTGAGGCTTTAAAGTACATGAAGGGGTTGTATTTGATTAAAACAAGGACAGATAGATCATATGATTTTATTCATGAAACTGTTCGTGAAACAGTTCTTACCTCATTTGGTAAAGTTGCACCTGGAATGATAATTCAGAAATGCCGAAGAGAAACCTTAAAGTCAGTGGTGAGACCTATGAGCTACAAACAAAGATCTGGTGAAATTGTTTTGAAAATTTCAAATGAGCATTATCAACCCCTTGCAAAGAAATTGTTGCTAAATAATGAAAATAATGATGAAATTGTTAACAACATAATTGTGAATTCTGCATCGTATGATTTTGAATTTTTTAAAGAGTTACTGACACACAGTATTTCTGGTTTGTGCAATCCATCACAAGTTTTAAGATTGCTATGGGATAAACTTCTCACAGAAGAAAAAACTGTATTGTTAGATTGTATGTTGAATAGTTATGGTCCTCATGTTGGACTTTTTTCTCCAAAGTATGACGAAAAAATACATTTCAATATATCTTTCAATGATATTGATAATTTAATTGAAAATGCTCTGCGTTTCCGTAAAAGAGACAAAATTTTATCTATTGTGCAGTATGTGAGACAACATGATAGTCTCCATGCAGTTGCCTCTTTTACTCACAAACAACACAAATCTATGACATTGTTACATTGCTGTGTGGTGCATGGGTGGGAGGATGTAGTGTATGAATTATTAACTTTTCACGAGGCTACAGTTACGGAAGACTTCTGGTCTATATTTCATTTTGCTGCATATGCAGGTCGACATACTTTGGTTAAGAACTTTCAAAACAGAGGGCTTATCTATGACAAAACAGATGCAGGTTATTCATTACTACAATGTACATTGCTTGGTCTTCGCCACAGTTCTAAAACTACAAAACCCTTTTTGGATGTTGATAAAAAATATTGTTTACCATTTTCTATTGAGTTTGCTGCTGAAGATGATTATTGTGAGTTGATAAAATATCTACATACACTGTCCGACAGAATAGACTGGGTAAAAGAATTAACTATGACCCTAGATCGGGAAAACAACACTGTTCAGTATTACCTAAGATTGCATGGCTATAATAAAATACTGAAGTTGCTTCAGGACTTAAATATTGTTAATGAGACTTATGCAACAAATACTGCTTGATATAAAAGATTTGAATTTTGCTGTGAAGGTTGATAGTTTCTTGTGAATTTATTTTAAATGATTTTTTTTTATTTTTTTGCAAATTTAATTTGTAGATGTGAATGTAAACTAATATTTTTAACTTTTATGGGAAAATGTGTATTATTTAAAAAGTTTAACTTTACAGAACAAATTTTTCATACCTATATTTTTTTTTCATACTTGCTGTTCTGTGTTGAAACTAAAAATTAAGATTTTTTTGAATGAATAGGTTTCTTGTTAAGCACAGGTAAATAAAATTTAATGCAAGAATTTTTAATTCTTAATTTATTAGTCTTTTATACATGTTAGAATCTTACATTTTTGCATCATTTTATATTTAATATAATTATAGCCCACGCAACAAGTTGCGTGAGGTGTAATGTTTTTGACCCGTCCGTCAGTCAGTCAGTGTGTCAGTCAGTCAGTCCTATTTTTTTTTTTGTCAGCGCAACTCCTCATAAACTGCTGCACAGAATTTCGTCAAACTTTGCAGATATTTAGATATTTAGGACACAATGTGTAGATGTGCATATTACCAGGAAATTCCGATTCCTTTATTTTTTCTGGGAATTTCGGCACTTTTCAACTTAGATTTTTGGCCATATCTTGAATATATAGAGATGAACAGTTTGTCAGCGCAACTCCTCTTAAACCGCAGCACAGAATTTCGTCAAACTTTGCAGATATTTAGCACACAATGTGTAGATGTGCATATTAACAGGGAATTCCGATTCCATTATTTTTCTGGGAATTTCGGCACTTTTCAACTTTACATGTATTTTTTTGGCCATATCTTGAATATAGAAATGAACAGTTTGTCAGCGCAACTCCTCTTAAACCACTGCACAGAATTTTGTCAAACTTTGCAGTTATTTAGTACACTGTGTGTAGATGTGCATATTAACAGGAAATTCCGATTCCTTATTTTTCAGGGAATTTCGGCACTTTTCAACTAGATTTTTGGCCATATCTTGAATATAGAGATGAACAGTTTGTTAGTGCAACTCCTCTTTAACCGCTGCACAGAATTTCGTCAAATTTTGCAGCTATTTAGTACACATTGCGTAGATGTGCATATTACCAGGAAATTCCGATTCCATTATTTTTGCCTTAAGAGTTTAGACTATTATTGAAAAAACTTTCCAGCTAGGTAATAAGGAAATCCACTGGAATCAGCTTTTGTAATGAAATTTTATGTGAAATATTTCATGACATTTAAAGACCCCTATTGATTTTGAGATCAAAATATTAATGATTAAACACACACACACACACAATCATGGATAGTTCTCAACCCCCCCCCCCCCCCCCCCTCCAAATTGGTCCTTTGCCTTAAATAATTTCATAAGTACAGTATATGAACAAATACATATGACTACATCATAATTTTGTTTCCATCAATTATTTTAATGTGTAAATTGTCGTATGTTGGACATGCAAGAAGTTTTGATGTGATGATTTTTTGCAAGTAATGCCCCTTTTTGAATTAAACTGTGTATTTAAAATGCACTGTGCGATTCATTACGTGATGCATTGTCGAGTTTTGGGGGAGCGTGGGGTATGTGAGCTTGCTCACTTTTTCTTTCATTATGTGATGCGCCAATGCAAGTAATATATAAACTTCCTTACATGTAACGAAGAATTTTGACATTTTCAGTTTTTTATTGATTCTTGTGGATTTTTGTATTGTATTGAATAAATAATATAATGAATAGTTAACTCAGATTTACTTTTGTGAAATGTTATTCTCGTCATAAAAATTATGTCCCTTCCTTAAACTCAGGGTAATTCTTATTTACAATCATTTTGATATCCTGGTTGTTCATTAAATAATTTATCAAACTTTGAACACTTTACTGATTAATAACAATTGCAGGAACACTTGTCACTAGGTTCAAAAGCCTAATTTGAGAAAAGTTGCAGGAAAACTTTTTACATACTAGTAATCACTATAAATTAGTTCGCGGTTTAATGTTCAGCCTTTAGGATGGGAGAAAGTTTGCAGGATATTGAAAAACTATCAATCATTACTCCTGAATATTTAGCAGCAGGCAATTGCAAACGGAATGCATGATAACAAGAGCTATGGACATATCGTTAGTTTTTTGAAAAGCATAGTAACGGATTAAAGGGCGTTTGGTAAGTACTCATAGTTTTTGTCAACATGCACAGGTTTGCTTGCTAAATGCCCAGGTTTTAATAAATTTTTCAAAAGTTTATGAATTTTCTATATATGACCAACGTTGCTATGATAGCCCCAACGCATTTAGAGATCAAGGTTAAATCTCGAACAATTTTTGGCTGATTGCGGTTAGTCTTGCATCTAATCGAGCATCTTCGCTAGCCAAGGGTTTCTGATCCGCTACTCTACTCGCTAATCCTTGGCCTGTCGTGCTACCACATGTTGGAATTGTTTTTATCGCGTGACCTCGAATCTTACCATTTACGCACAGCTTCTTTTTTTAGGTCACCTGAGTCACTCAGGTGACCTATTGCTATCTCTTTTCGTCCGTCGTCGTCCGTCGTTCGTCGGTCGTAAACTTTTGAACATTTTCAGCTTCTTCTTTGGAACCAGCAAACCAATTTCAACCAATTTTGGCATATAGCATCTATGGGTGAAAGGGGAACAAAAATTGTGAAATTCGTGGCCCCTGCCCCCCTGGGGCCTGAGGGGTGGGGCCAAAAACATCAAAATTAATGCAATCTTTAAAAATCTTCTTCTTTACTCCTGGACATCAAGCAGTCAAACTGTTGGCATGATTGTAATAAGCATTGAGCCCTCTACGAAAATTGTGAAATTCATAGCCCCAGGGTCAGGGGTTCTGGTGTTAGGGCGGGGCTATATAGATCATATAGTGAAAGTGCATTATTTCTTTGAAAATCTTCTTCTCTACTCCTGGGAATTCTTGAAACAAATTGAATACATAGTTATGATAAGCAAGGGTGACTCTACCAAAATTGTGAAATTCATGGCCCCAGGGTCAGGGGTTCTGGTGCTAGGGCGGGGCTATATAGATCATATAGTGAAAGTGCATTATTTCTTTAAAAATCTTCTTCTCTACTCCTGGGTATTACTGAAACAAATTAAATACATAGTTATGATAAGCAAGGGTGACTCTACAAAAATTGTGAAATTCATGACCCCAGGGTCAGGGGTTCTGGTGCTAGGGTGGGACTATATAGATCATATTGTGAAAGTGCATTATTTCTTTGAAAATCTTCTTCTCTACTCCTGGGTATTATTGAAACAAATTGAATACATAGTTATGATAAGCAAGAGTGACTCTACCAAAATTTTGAAATTCATAGCCCCAGGGTCAGAGGTTCTGGTGCTAGGGCGGGGCTATATAGATCATTTAGTGAAAGTGCATTATTTCTTTGAAAATCTTCTTCTCTACTCCTGAGTATTATTGAAACAAATTAAATACATAGTTATGATAAGCAAGAGTGACTCTACCGAAATTGTGAGATTCATAGCCCCAGGGTCAGGGGTTCTGGTGCTAGGGCGGGGCTATATAGATCATATAGTGAAAGTGCATTATTTCTTTGAAAATCTTCCTCTCTACTCCTGGGTATTATTTAAACAAATTAAATACATAGTTATGATAAGCAAGGGTGACTCTACAAAAATTGTGAAATTCATGACCCCAGGGTCAGGGGTTCTGGTGCTAGGGTGGGACTATATAGATCATATTGTGAAAGTGCATTATTTCTTTGAAAATCTTCTTCTCTACTCCTGGGTATTATTGAAACAAATTGAATACATAGTTATGATAAGCAAGAGTGACTCTACCAAAATTGTGAAATTCATAGCCCCAGGGTCAGGGGTTCTGATGCTAGGGCGGGGCTATATAGATCATATAGTGAAAGTGTATTATTTCTTTGAAAATCTTCTTCTCTACTCCTGGGTATTATTTAAACAAATTAAATACATAGTTATGATAAGCAAGAGTGACTCTACCGAAATTGTGAAATTCATAGCCCCAGGGTCAGGGGTTCTGGTGCTAGGGCGGGGCTATATAGATCATATAGTGAAAGTGCATTATTTCTTTGAAAATCTTCTCTTCTCCTGGGTATTATTTAAACAAATACATGGTTATGATAAGCAAGGATGCCTCTTCCAAAATTGTGAATTTCATGGCCTCTAGACCAGAGGTTCTGATATTAGGGCGGGGCTCTATTTATTTTATAGTGAAAATGCATTAATGCTTTAAAAATATTCTCTGCACCTAGGCATATCAGAGGCAAAAAGAGTAAAAGTTTTAATAAGGAAGGGTATTTTTACCAGATTTTTGAACATCAGAACCATTTGATCAAGTGTTCTGGTCCAGGCCAAGCCTCTATTAATTTGTATTCTACTGAAAGGAGTTATTCCCCTTTACCAATTACTGGTGATAATTAATCACTGTAAATAATGTACTTGAAAGGTTAATAGAATAAGAGAATTATGCAAGAATTTTTATGGTATAATACAAAAAGTTCTTTCATAGTTTTAATGATCAGGTAGACTTGTAAGTAACAGATAAATAAAAATGAGACAAAAATAACTTGTCTTATTAAATGTTCATCAAAGACCAAGAGAGGCCAATGTAAGAGATTTCAACTAGGAATTAAAAGAGTACAGAAGCACTGATTATAAGATTGTTTATATACTGTCTAGTGAGAGGGATAAATGGGGAACAGATTAGAACCTAATTTATGTACTGTTAATGAACACTAGACTAATTATTTTGTTGATCCTGATCACCCTATTTTTCTTGCTTTTGGGCAACAAAGCTTCACCTTTCAGTTCATTTTATACTCTATGGATCCTCTAAATTATTGTATTATACTCAGGTGACCGTTAAGGCCCTTGGGCCTCTTGTTTAAATTGAAGTGGCCCTATTTAAAGAACATTTGACAAGCAAGTATCGAACAATGTATATTTGTTATTTAGGGTCCAAATCTATATATGAAATATATTTTCCTGATTACATTATGTGCTTATCGACTTTTAAAAGGTCTAAATGTCCCTCTGATAAGAGAGATAACTTCAGAAAAAATTAAATCTAAAAATATCCAAAACTTCTTACTTTTTAGCCATTTTCTTGATTTACTGTTA